TAATTAGCTCCACACATGTACATGTACTTAGCTCCACACCTGTTTCTTGAACCTGTCAATGCTAATGCAACAAATGAGATCAAATTTTAAATCACATTCAGATTTTCAGGAGCATCTTTTCTTAGTTTCGTACAAATGTGAACTGTTACCAGATGATGTGATATGATGTACTTTAACCCCACTTAAAGTTCTGGGTAAAGATTTGTAATGGGAGTTTTATGGTCTGGGTAGAGATTGGTCATTGGGAGTTTAATGGTCTTGGTAGAGATTGGGAGTTTAATGGTCTGGGTAAAGATTGGTAATGGGAGTTTAATGGTCTGGGTAGAGATTGGTCATTTGGAGTTAAATGGTCTCGTTAGAGATTGGTCATTTGGAGTTAAAAGGTCTGGGTAGAGATTGGTCATTGGANGGTCTGGGTAGAGATTGGTCATTTGGAGTTAAATGGTCTCGTTAGAGATTGGTCATTTGGAGTTAAATGGTCAAGTTAGAGATTGGTCATTTGGAGTTAAAAGGTCTGGGTATAGGTTGGTCATTTGGAGTTTAATGGTCTGGGTATAGGTTGGTCATTTGGAGTTTAATGGTCTAGGTAGAGATTGTCCATTGGAAGTTTAATGGTCTGGGTAGAGATTGGTCATTGGGAGTTTAAGCTTTGTTTTAAAGGTTAGATTATTCTGCTTGCATCATAATTGTTTTCTTAGGTTATTGTAATAATGATTTTGTTTTTGTAGAACACTTAATTAATAAGGAATATTATTTTCTATTTTGTATAGTAGGTCAGAGAAATGACATGTTATAACATAAATATTTGTTTAATTTCAGACCGCAAGAACCTACTGTGCAACAGATACTGAAGATCTAGCGTTTGTTGTGTCCTTCATAAAGGCACGCTATCCTAACGCACCTCTGATAGGGGCTGGGATGTCTCTGGGTGGGTAAGTACCTAAAGGGGCTGGGATCTCTCTGGGTGGGTAAGTACCTAAATGGGCTGGTGTCTCTCTGGGCGGGTAAGTACATAAAGGGGCTAGGATCTCTCTGGGCGGGTAAGTACCTAAAGGGGCTGGGATCTCTCTGGGTGGGTAAGTACTTAAAGGGGCTGGTAACTCTCTGGGCGGGTAAGTACCGAAAGGGGCTGGAATCTCTCTGGGTTGGTAAGTACCTAAAGGGGCTGGGATATCTAGGTGGGTAAGTACCTAAAGGGGCTGGGATCTCTCTGGTTGGATAAGTACCTAAAGGGGCTGGGATCTCACTGGGTGGGTAAGTACCTAAAGGGGCTGGGATCTCTCTGGGTGGGTAAGTACCTAAATGGGCTGGAATCTCTCTGGGTGGGTAAGTACTTAAAGGGGCTGGTATCTCTCTGGGCGGGTAAGTACTTAAAGGGGCTGGGATCTCTCTGGGTGGGTAAGTACCTAAAGGGGCTAGGATCTCTCTTGGTGAGTAAGTACTTAAAGGGGCCAGAATCTCTCTGGGTGGATATGTACATAAAGGGGCTAGGATATCTCTGTGTGGGTAAGTACCTCAAGGGCTAGGATCTCTCTTGGTGAGTAAGTACTTAAAGGGGCTGGACTATCTCTGGGTGGGTAAGTACTTAAAGGGGCTGGAATCTCTCTGGGTGGGTAAGTACCTAAAGGGGCTAGGATTTCTCTGGGTGGGTAAATACCTAAAGGGGTCAGAATATCTCTGCGTGGGTAAGTACCTAAAGGGGCCAGAATCTCTCTGCGTGGGTAAGGACCTAAAGGGTCCAGAATCTTTCTGGGTTGATAAGTGCCTAAAGGGGCCAGAATCTCTGCGTGGGTAAGTACATAAAGGGGCTAAGATCTCTCTAGGTGGGTAGGTGCCTAAAGGGGCCAGAATCTCTCTGGGTGGGGAAGTACCTCAAGGGGTCAGAATCTCTCTGCGTGGGTAAGGACCTAAAGGGGCCAGAATCTCTCTTGGTGGGTAGGTACCAAAAGGGGCCAGAATCTCTCTGGGTTGGTAGGTTCCGAAAGGGATATTCAACTATGACCACAAGTTATCTTTCTGGTTTTATGACTTCAATTATAAAATTTGGTTATACACTGTATCATGACCTGGTTTGTGATGTTTTACAGCATGATCCTGTTCCAATATCTGTCAAAAATGGGTAGCGAGTCAAAACTACAGGCTGGAATGTGTGTGTCTGTGGCATGGAACGTGTTTGAGTCATACGTAGAACTGGAGAAACCAGGAATAAACAGACATGTCCTCAACAGAGCCCTCGCCAAAAGTCTTGTCTACTCTATACAAAGGTTGGTTTGTCCTCAAAAGAGCCCTCGCCAAAAGTATTGTGTACTCTATATAAAGGTTGGCTTGTCCTCAACAGAGCGCTCGCCAAAAGTCTTGTCTACTCTATACAAAGGTTGGTTTGTCCTCAAAAGAGCCCTCGCTAAAAGTCTTGTCTACTCTATACAAAGGTTGGTTTGTCCTCAACAGAGCCCTCGCCAAAAGTCTTGTTATACAAAGGTTGGTTTGTCCTCAAAAGAGCCCTCGCTAAAAGTCTTGTCTCCTCTATACAAAGGTTGGTTTGTCTTAGACAGATCCCTCGCCAAAAGTATTGTCTACTCTATACAAAGGTTGGCTTGTCCTCAACAGAGCGCTCGCCAAAAGTCTTGTCTACTCTATACAAAGGTTGGTTTGTCTTAGACAGAGCCCTCGCCAAAAGTATTGTCTACTCTAAAACAAAGGTTGATTTCTCCTCAACAGAGCCCGCCTCAACACTTTTA